GTCACTTCACGCAGATGGTATGGAAGGATACCAAACAGATGGGTGTGGGTAAAGCCAGGAGCGCGGCAGGCACCAAGGTCTTCGTCGTGGCTAACTTCGATCCGCAGGGTAACTGGATGGGCCAGTTCGCTGACCAAGTTCCTCCTGTAGGGTAAGACATTTTCTTTTACTCAATAAGTTATGCAAGTCTTTAACATCGCACTCTAATGGAATAAGAGACACAAATGTAGTATAATCTGATCCTTTCTTGATAATCTTTAACATAAGAATGGAGTTCGCCCAGATTGGGCTTTATTAAGTCACAAACTTTACGACTTAATAAATCCCACCGTGTGAGAGAAACGTCAACAATAAAGAGTCGCTTTAGATTGCATTTGTGTAATTTTTTCCAAGGTCGAAATGTTTTGCAAGATGTACATGTGTTATGTTAACATAATATAGATACAGTTTGGTACTACTAGTTGGTGAAAAGTCAGAGCGACGGTGAGACGTTATATAGAGTATGCTGTACAGTTCTGGTCTCTATTCAACCTACCCTCTTAAGCAACCACAGAAGATGTGTGACAGTGACACTAGAATGAAAATGTGATTTTTTTTATATTGTACAGTTCACTCTGAGGGTCTCCGCTACCATTTCGCGCTTCAAAACTTTTTGTCGTCTTTACATAGAATTGCATTTACTGATATTAGAGTATGTTATAATTATTTTTCACTAATAGACGACAGTCTAATCTAACCTAAATAATGTATATCAAGAAATTTGCTTCAAATAGCATGTAAGAAATCTAAGTTGGGTTCAGGAGGACAGGTTACCATATTATGGAATGGACATAGATGCATTATTAATCCACTGTAGCAGAAGGTAATCTCTGTGCTATAAATTATTCCCACTAAGATAGAATGAGAGTAGTAAACCTACATTCATAAAAGACAGAATAAGGAGGTATATAGCCGAGGTATACAAGTGGAAGTTAGCCATAAATAAGTTAGAGAAGGAAATATACTGATGCTATCTAACCAAGGCAAAACTCAGAACAATGGATTCAAGATTAATTACTTTAGATTTAGAGAAAAAAAATATTGAAAGAACTGTTGTGACAAAAGTGCATTATTTTTGTTATTAGTAAACTCGCAACGTGCAGTTACTTGTCTGTAAAATAATTTATAAGGTGGAACAAACTGGCAAGTAGTGCCACTGGCAAAATATTTTGGGCAACTTTAAAAGATTGGGTTAAAGAGAGACTGATTGAGTGCCAGGTGTGAGAAGGGCCTGTCGGGTATGAGCCACGAGCTTCACATCCTGCAGGTTATCTTCTGTACAAGTATGACGCTTTCGTGTTTAGTGCTTAACTTGATTATAACAATATTATTATTATCTATACAGTATTTATATTTCACATTAAATTCACTATTTTACGTATATAGTTTTATATGCACAATGAATGTTTAACATTATAATACTTTTATTTATTAAAAAAAGGTTAAATTTCCTTTCCTTTCTGAAAAACTGTTCTTTTAGGAATTTATTACACGTTTTCTTATTAATGCTTATAGACAATTGTTTTTTGTGAAATCAGAGGGTTCCCCAAGCCGGCGTCTTCAGGAAAGACATCACTGTTCAGCAGCAAGACTCACAAGTCGTCCAGCGACTCCGACTCTTCTGATGATGATGACTTTGCTGAGGAATGCCTCAAATCCCACAACAACTACCGTGCCAAGCATGGTGCCCCTCCACTCAAACTCAGCAAGAAGGTCAGTCCTGAGAGGAGTAGCGATGTGGAATTTTCTTGTGGGCCACCACTAATATCGATAATAAACAAGAACAAATGCAGGCACTAATATTTGTTACTGCGCAGAATTATAAAATATCACATATTTGTTAAACAAGGTGTACTGTTACATATCCTTTGATACTTTACGTTTCATCTGTGCACTGTAGGTTGTGTGACACTGCAGATGTTTACGTTTATGCTCAGCCTTTATGTCCTCACTATCAGCGTGCTGTGTTGCTCTCTTCAGATACGATAAGCTTTAATATAAATGCTAGTTAATGCCTGTTTGATTTCTTGCAGCTGAGCAAGTACGCTCATGAGTGGGCCCAGACAATTGCCAAGAAAGACGTCCTGCAGCACCGTCAAAACAACAGTTACGGCGAGAACTTGTACTGCGCCTGGTCGTCCAACCCAAAACACATGATCAAGGGAAGTGAGGCGGTCGAGTCGTGGTACCAAGAGATCAAAGACTTCACGTTCGGCAGGGAACCCAGTGACCTCAGGGCCGGTTAGTTACAGTTTCTGCCCATTAATGTCTAGCCAGCCTAACTAATTAGAGACAAGTCGACAATTAGCAGGCGGAGGATCAAGCTTCCACCAGGCTGCATGAAATACCCGTTAATAAAGATTTTAATTCTTTTATTTTTGTTTAATGTTTCCATAACAAAAATTTCATGGTTTTATTAATAGTCTATTTCTGATCGTAGGTCATCCCTGATCGTAGTTTGGTAAAGAAAGATTGATGCCAACATGATTGCTAACTGATATTTTGTTGTGGTCAGGTCACTTCACACAAGTAGTGTGGCTGGATAGTGAGGAGCTGGGTGTGGCAACTGCTCGTTCTAAATCTGGTAAGATCTACGTTGTGGCCAACTACAGCCCAGCTGGCAACTTCGTAGGCAGCTTCGCCACCAAGGTGCCCAGACCCAAGTAAGAATGTCAAGCATACTGGCGACTCCCTGGTGCAGGGATAATACACCACATGAAGATAGTACTGGTGTGAAGCCCATCACCTGCCACAGCCATACATCACCTACCACAGCCATACCAACACTTACCACAGCCATACTAACACTTATCACAGCCAAACATCACCTACCATAGCCTTACCAACAATTACCACTGCCATTCATCACCTACCACAACCATACCAACATTTACCACAGCCATACCAACACTTGCCACAGCCATACCAACACTTACCACAGCCACAGTCATACCGACACCTACCACAGTCATACCATCACCTACCACAGTCATACCGACACCTACCATAGTCATACCATCACCTACCACAGCCATACCAACACATCACAGCCATACCAACACCTACCACAGTCATACCATCACCTACCACAGTCATACCGACACCTACCACAGTCATACCATCACCTACCACAGTCATACCGACACCTACCACAGTCATACCATCACCTACCACAGTCATACCATCACCTACCAGAGTCATACCATCACCTACCACAGCCATACTATAATCTACCATAGCCATATCAACATTTAAATTAACGCAACTTTACCAAACATCGAACACAGCCATACCACCGTCTACCACAGTCATGCCAAAACCTCTTCTTGCTACATAAGGTGGTGGAGCCTCAGACACATCCTGTGGTGCTATTAATGTTATAATTATAACTGAAGACCATCACTTCACGGAAGGTGCAGCGACTCGGCGCTCTTGCTGAGGTCATTGTTCATCGATGGCGACACAGCGTCGATCATTCGTCACCCTGGTTTCTGCATACATTCAGAATACACTTTAATATATGGTAGTGAAGACACAATATACAGAATGAGCTTTATGAGGGCGACGTTGCACTCAGAGCAGAGCTTGATCATGACTCGATAAAGCTCTACTCTGAGAATTGTCCCAATAAACGCTTGTTCGTTATATCGTGTATCCATTCCCATACCCGTGGGCATTACGCCTCTACATATATTTTAATGTACGTTGACGAAACATTTGTTGTAATGTCAGTAGATGCTCAATGTTTGTTTATATTGTTTATGCTTCATATGTATTGTATACTTGTTCTTATACTCCTCTACATTTATACAAATTATAAATATTTGTAACCCGAACGACAACAGATTTCATTCATTCATTTATTAAATATATGAAATTACGTATTATTAAGTATGCTTAGTTCGTCACCTTTGTAAATATGTGCTGAGGAGAATAATGTGTAAGCTTCGGCCTTTTGGTGCTAGTGTACATGTACGCTTCTCCATCAGTCACTACGTACACATTACGTCTCTCTTAATGGATAAGTAAGACACGTGTGTAACAATTTGGTATCTTTATTGCCGAGACATTTCGCCTGCTCAGCAGGCTTCTTCAGGTGAAATGCGCAAGTGACTTTAATGCTGGATACTGAACTGTTACATGTGTGTTTTATTCATCTATGTACATATAACTCCTTTTAGTTACTTAGTACTCACTACTCCTCCCTAGGTGCTCATTACTCCTCCCTTAGTTACTTAGTACTCATTACTCCTCCTTAAGTGCTCATTACTCCTCCCTTCGTTACTTAGTACTCATTACTCCTCCCTTAGTTTCTATGTACACATTATTATGTTGATACTAAGACCTCCTCGCTTCTGCAGGAGATAGTCTCTCAACCCAAAGAGATTCTGAGACCATCTATAGATGACTCAGAAGGCTTAGTCTCCCTTCGTCGTATTGATCGATGCACACTTTTCTTGTATATATAAATACTGATGATTCCTTTTTAATCATTCCCTAGATTGCATCATATTTGTGTAGTGTGAAATGACTAAGCTCACGAAGACATGACAAACATTGGAATGACGGAAGGTATGTGGGGGATGTCAGCTACTTGTGTAGCTACTCAGTCAGCAGGAAGTAACTCATCACAGCTGTCACTCAGTCAGCAGGGAGTAATTCACAGCTGTCACTCAGTCAGCAGGGGGTAACTCATCACCTATCACTCAGCAGGGAGTAATTCATCACCTGTCACTCAGTCAGCCGGTAGTAATTCATCACAGTTGTCACTCAGTCGGCAGGGAGTAATTCATCACAGCTGTCACTCAGTCAGCAGAGAGTAACTCATCACAGCTGTCGCTCAGCAGGGAGTAACTCATCACACCTGTCAGTCAGCAGGAAGTGACTCATCACAGCCGTCACTCAGTCAGCAGGAAGTAATTCATGTCACTCAGCAGGGAGTGACTCATCATACCTGTCAGTCAGCAGGGAGTAAATCATCACCTGTCATCCAACCAGCAGGTGGTAACTCATTTATTCCTAACTTGGTAATCAAAGCTTGGTGTGACGAGTTACCTTCCTTTATTTTAGGTTTGTTCTCTATTATTTATTTTGATGCTCGTCTAAGATCAAAATTACTCAAGTTATTCCAGATGGTCTGTGATTTATTAGGTTTAATATATGATAAACACTACTGTCTTTCTATATTAATCCTTTAACAAAACTGAATATGTATTTTTAGGGGGATAAGTAAATCATAGTTTAACTGCTAAGATTATTGATCTTGAAGAAATGAATCCTGATGATGGTGACTCATTTGTCACCGAAACGTTGATTGTACTTGGTTGGTTGGTTAATGGGGTTTAAAGCCTATCGACTACAAAACGGTCATTAAGGCTGCACGTATCCTCTTCACCGCCAGACAAGAATACTTTATTCTTAAAATAGGGAGTAACATAAATTCTGCATATATACACACAGAAATATACCTCTTGGTGTAGTCTACGTACGTATATCCTGTGATTGTCCTTCAATAAACGCACTAAGAAGTTTGTAATTGTTTCCCACCTGCTATGAATTATTTAGTGGTATAAACATATACACGGAAGGCTTCGAAAATGCTGGTGAGGAGCTCTTGATACAAGTAACTAAGTGAGTACAGATCGTCTGTCTGAGGATCAACAGACGGAGGATCAAGTCTCATCACGTCTTTCGCTGAGAGATCCTCGTGGATTTAGCGCTTAAACATGAATCTGTGATACAAAGTGATGTCATCCCCTGCCCTTTATCGGATTAGACCTGATAATCTATTTCCGAGGTGCGGTATAACCCTTGTGGGTTTAGCGCTTTCCCATGAATAATATAATCACGTCGTTAGAAAACATTCAGCGTAGGATGACTTAATTAATACATAGCATTAGAAATCTTCCTTATGAAGAAAGATTGAAGACTCTTAAGTTACATTCACTTGTTAGACGAAGAATGAGGGGAGACCTGATCGAAGTGTATAAGTGGAAGATAGGTATTAATAAAGGGGATATTAATAAGGTCTTGAGGATGTCTCTCCAAGAGAGAACCCGCAGTAATGGATTTAAATTAGATAAATTTGGATTTAGAAAGGACATAGGAAAGCATTGGTTTGGAAATAGGGTAGTTGATGAGTGGAACAGTCTACCTAGTTGGGTTATTGAGGCTGGGACTTTGGGTAGTTTCAAATTTAGGTTGGATAAGTACACGAGTGGGAGGGGTTGGATTTGAGTGGGACTTTCACATCAGAGCTTATTTCTTGGGTGGCATTGAAAATTGGGTTGGGCAAATGTTTGTTAGTGGGATGAATTGTAAAGGACCTGCCTAGTATGGGCCAACAGGCCTGCTGCAGTGTTCTTCCTTTCTTATGTTCTTATGAAAAAAAGGTAATTACGGTAACCTTTCCGTCAAGTGACTGAAGGTGATCCAGCATAACACATTATAATACGAAACTAAATTTTCTGAAGTAGTGTTCAGAATATTTGTAGAGGAGAGCAGTGTTGCGATGTTGCAGGTGAAGTGTGCGGTGTTGCAGGTGAAGTGTTGCGGTGTTGCAGGTGAAGTGTTGCGGTGTTGCAGGTGAAGTGTGCGGTGTTGCAGGTGAAGTGTTGCGGTGTTGCAGGTGAAGTGTTGCGATGTTGCAGGTGAAGTGTTGCGATGTTGCAGGTGAAGTGTTGCGATGTTGCACGTGGTGTTGCAGGTGAAGTGTTGCGGTGTTGCAGGTGAAGTGTTGCGGTGTTGCAGGTGAAGTGTTGCGATGTTGCAGGTGAAGTGTTGCGATGTTGCAGGTGAAGTGTTGCGGTGTTGTAGGTGAAGTGTTGCGATGTTGCAGGTGAAGTGTTGCGATGTTGCAGGTGAAGTGTTGCGGTGTTGTAGGTGAAGTGTTGCGATGTTGCAGGTGAAGTGTTGCGATGTTGCAGGTGAAGTGTTGCGGTGTTTCAGGTGAAGTGTTGCGATGTTGCACGTGGTGTTGCAGGTGAAGTGTTGCGGTGTTGCAGGTGAAGTGTTGCGATGTTGCAGGTGGTGCTGCGATGTTGCAGGTGAAGTGTTGTGGTGTTGCAGGTGAAGTGTTGCGATGTTGCAGGTGAAGTGTTGCGGTGTTGCAGGTGAAGTGTTGCAGGTGAAACGTTGCGGTGTTGCAGGTGAAGTGATGCGGTGTTGCAGGTGAAGTGCTGTGGTGTTGCAGGTGAAGTGTTGCGGTGTTGCAGGTGAAGTGTTGCAGGTGAAGTGTTCATAATTTCGCTGTAATATAATAGATAAACAACAGTTATGTTACTACCATATGTTAGAAAATCAAAGTGTAATGAACATTTCTCAATGTCAAGACAACCTGCAGGGAAACAACAAAGAATAGCTCTGCGGATATTTCGACATCCATCTACTGAGGACCTCAGTTGGTCAAAATATGCAGACAGTTATTTTTTTTTGTTTTGTTTTCTTCTCATGTGAGTTATTGAACACTGACATATATACATTAGTATTTTATGTAGCTTAACACGAAGCATATTCCGAGAAGCACATTCCTAGATAATTAAAGCAATTTGAGTGGCATTCGAGTCTAAGAACATTACATCACACGTCTCTGCTTCTCTGTATGACCATACAGGTTTAATGCTTCCCCGTGAATATAAGAATCTATACTTGACCAAATTTCCTCCTACACCGACTTAACCCGACACTAACCACATCTCTTCCCACCCTGACCTGCACACCGACAACATCTCTTCCCACCCTGACCTACACACCGACCACATCTCTTCCCACCCTGACCTACACATCGACCACATCTCTTCCCACCCTGGCCTACACACCAGCCACATCTCTTCCCACCCTGACCTACACCCGACACACCGACCACATCTCTTTCCACCCTGACCTGCACACCGACCACATCTCTTCCCACCCTGACCTGCACACCGATCACATCTCTTCCACCCTGACCTACACACCAACCACATCTCTTCCCACCCTGACCTACACCCGACACACCGACCACATCTCTTCCCACTCTGACCCACACACCAACCACATCTCTTCCCACCCTGACCTACACCCGACACACCGACCACATCTCTTCCCACCCTGACCTACACCCGACACACCGGGCCACATCTCTTCCCACCTGACCTGCACACCGACCACATCTCTTCCCACCCTGACTTGCACACTGACGACATCTCTTCCCACCCTGACCTACACCCGACACACCGACCACATCTCTTCCCACCCTGACCCACACACCAACCACATCTCTTCCCACTCTGACCTACACACTGACCACATCTCTTCCCACCCTGACCCACACACCGACCACATCTCTTCCCACCCTGACCTACACACCAACCACATCTCTTCCAACACTGACCTACACCCGACACACCGACCACATCTCTTCCCACCCTGACCTGCACACCGACCACATCTCTTCCCACCCTGACCTGCACACCGACCACATCTCTTCCCACCCTGACCTGCACACCGACCACATCTCTTCCCACCCTGACCTACACCCGACACACCGACCACATCTCTTCCAACCTTGACCTACACCCGACAAACCGACCACATCTCTTCCCACCCTGACCTACACACCGACCACATATCTTCCCACCCTGACCTACGCCCGACACACCGACCACATCTCTTCCCACCCTGACCTACACCCGACACACCGACACATCTCTTCCCACCCTGACCTACACCCGACACAACCGACCACATCTCTTCCCACCCTGACCTACACACCGACCACATCTCTTCCCACCTTGACCTACACCCGACACACTGACCACATCTCTTCCCACCCTGACCTACACACCGACGACATCTCTTCCCACTCTGACCTACACCCGACAACACCGACCACATCTCTTTCCACCCTGACCTGCACACCGACCACATCTCTTCCCACCCTGACCTACACACCGATCACATCTCTTCCCACCCTGACCTACACCCGACACACCGACCACATCTCTTCCCACCCTGACCTGCACACCGATCACATCTCTTCCCACCCTGACCTGCACACCGACCACATCTCTTCCCACCCTGACCTACACCCGACACACCGACCACATCTCTTTCCACCCTGACCTACACACTGACCACATCTCTTCCCACCCTGGCCCACACACCAACCACATCTCTTCCCACTCTGACCTACACACTGACCACATCTCTTCCCACCCTGACCCACACACCAGTCACATCTCTTTCCCACCCTGACCTACACCCGACACACCGACCACATCTCTTCCCACCCTGATCTGCACACCGACCACATCTCTTCCCACCCTGACCTGCACACCGACCACATCTCTTCCCACCCTGACCTGCACACCGACCACATCTCTTCCCACCCTGACCTACACCCGACACACCGACCACATCTCTTCCCACCCTGACCTGCACACCGACCACATCTCTTCCCACCCTGACCTACACCCGACACACCGACCACATCTCTTCCAACCGAGACCTACACCCGACAAACCGAACACATCTCTTCCCACCCTGACCTACACACCGACCACATATCTTCCCACCCTGACCTACGCCCGACACACCGACCACATCTCTTCCCACCCTGACCTACACCCGACACACTGACCACATCTCTTCCCACCCTGACCTACACACCGACCACATCTCTTCCCACCCTGACCTACGCCCGACACACTGACCACATATCTTCCTACCCTGACCTACACAAGACACACCGACCACATCTCTTCCAACCTTGACCTACACCCGACAAACCGAGCACATCTCTTCCCACCCTGACCTACACACCGACCACATCTCTTCCCACCCTGACCTACGCCCGACACACTGACCACATCTCTTCCCACCCTGACCTACACACGACACACCGACCACATCTCTTCCCACCCTGACCTACACCCGACACACCGACCACATCTCTTCCCACCCTGACCTACACACCGAGCACATCTCTTCCCACCTGGACCTACACCCGACACACTGACCACATACCTTCCTACCCTGACCTACACACCGACCACATCTCTTCCCACTCTGACCTACACCCAACACACAGACCACATCTCTTCCCACCCTGACCTACACATCGACCACATCTCTTCCCACCCTGGCCTACACACCAACCACATCTCTTCCCACCCTGACCTACACCCGACACACCGACCACATCTCTTTCCACCCTGACCTGCACACCGACCACATCTCTTCCCACCCTGACCTGCACACCAATCACATCTCTTCCCACCCTGACCTACACACCAACCACATCTCTTCCCACCCTGACCTACACCCGACACACAGACCACATCTCTTCCCACCCTGACCTGCACACCGACCACATCTCTTCCCACCCTGACCTGCCCACCGACCACATCTCTTCCCACCCTGACCTACACCCGACACACCGACCACATCTCCCCTCCACCCTGACCTACACACTGACCACATCTCTTCCCACCCTGACCCACACACCAACCACATCTCTTCCCACTCTGACCTACACACTGACCACATCTCT